TCCTGACTCTCTGTGGTCATTAAAAATCCCAGGGTGTTTCTCAAAAGAGTAGGGGTGTAACCCTGGCGTCCTGGCCAAATTTCCCCATTGGTCCTTACCAATCATGGCCTCCTAATAATCCCTACATCACTCTGCTCTCCTCCCCACTGATAGCTGATGTGTGGGGAGCGTTCTGGCGCACTATGGCTGCCGTCGCATCATCCAGGTGGTTGCTGCACATTGGTGTTGGTGGTGGTGGTGGAGCGTAAAGCGCTTTGAGTGGAGTGTCCAGAAAAAGCGTAAGTGTAAGCGTAAATTACTGAGCACACTGTAACTCACTGCCATTGAAGTACTGAACACACTGCTGCACACTTTTTTTCAGAGTTTATTTAAGCCAGAATTTCCTTTCAGAGCCTGGTGCTGTCTGAACTTGTTGTTGTGATGTTTGTTTTGGGATTCTTGTTATCTTTTTTCAAAACAGTAACTACTTCTTTGTCGCAAAAAGTTTTTGAGTATTTTTTTCAATAAATAAGTTTATGGTGGCTTGGGCACTCAAGTGACATTTTCTGGGAAAAAGCTTATTTTTATTAATAGCTAAAACTAAATATAACCATTCTGCGTAGCAAACAAACCACCTCACCTGCTCTGCTCAGTGTTACTCCTGTTCTCTCTTTCCTCTGACTCCGATTACTGTCTGATGATGGTCTCCTCTCCACTGACAGCAGGTGTGTGGTGAGCATACAGGCACACTATGGCTGCCATCACATCATCCTGGTGGGATCTGCACATTGGCGGTGGTTGAGGTGAGTCCCCACTACCTGTAAAGCGCTTTGAATGGAGTGTCCAGAAAAGCCCTGTATATGTGTAAGCAATTATTATAGGGCTTGGAGCCCACTTGCAACAAGGTCTAGACTTTTTGAGCAGTAATTCCCAACACTGCGCTGACGGATTTGTGACTACAGTCAGGCCAGCCAGCCAAATATGTTTCTTCTGATGGGAGATACACGGGCACTCTCGTGCCCTGAATGTGAACAAGAACCTGTTTCCAAATCAATCTCTGGACACCATCAACGGATCAGTTAAAGGCCCCCCCAGGAGACTAAGAAGATTCAATACGTTCTATAATGGACTGAAGGAAAATATGATTGGAGCGCTGGTTATGAGATTTTGAGGCAGAAGTTTTCATCTCAACTGTGAGAAGTCCCCTTATAACAAATAATAACTGCCTCTAAGGAATTATATGAAGCCTGAAATAGATCATAAATAACAGAAGCAGCTGCCTGCAAATATTTTACCCCTGTAATAAATTGGTTCATTAAATGTACAGAGAACCTCTCCACCCAGGAGGCACAATACACGCAGGATGGCGATACAGTGCCTTGCAGAAGTATTCACCACCCTTGGACTTTTTCACATTTTATTGTGTTACAGCATGGAACCATGATGTATTTAACTGAGACTTTTTCCCCACTCATCAACACAAAGTACTCTGTAATGTCAAAGTGAAAAAAAAATCCAGACATTTCACTAAACTAAATATGAATATAAAAGCAGAAAAAAAATCAAATGCATAAGTATTCCCAGAGTTAATACTTGGTAGGACCACCTTAGGCAGCAATTACAGCTGTCAGTCTCTTTGGGAAAGTCTCTATCAGCGCTGCACATCTTGACACTGGAATTTTTAGCCCATTCTTCTTAGCAAAATTGCTCAAGTTCCATCAAGTTGGACGGGGACTGTTTGTGAACAGCAATTTTTCAGTCATTCCACAGATGCTCAGAAGGATTGAGGTCTGGGCTTTGACTGGGCCACTCCAAGACATTAACCTTTTTAGTTTTAAGCCACTCCAGTGTGGCTTTTGCTGTATCTTTCTGGTCATTGTCCTGTTGGAAGATGAAGTCCCAGTACTCTTGCAGATTGCAGGACATTTTCCTCCAGGATTTTTCTGTACATAGCTCCATCTATTTTTCCTTCTATCTTTATGAGTTTTCCAGTCCCTGCTGCAGAGAAGCACCCCCAAAGCATGATGCTGCCACCACCATGCTTCACTGTAGGGATGGTGTTCTCAGTGCGATGTGAAGTTTGCATCAAATAAAGTTCAATTTTGGTCTCCTCACACCATAGAATCTTCCTCCAAATTGTTGAGTCTCACACACCTTTGAGCAAACTCTAGCCAAGATATGAGTTTTTTCCCCAACAAAGGCTTTCTTCTTGCCACCCTTCCATACAAGCCAGATTTATGAAGTGTGTGTGCTATTGTTGTCTCATGCACAGTGTCTCCCACCTCTGTCATTGAGGACTGAAACTCCTCTAGAGTTGGCATAGGCCTCTTGGTGGCCTCCCTTACTACGGCTCTACTTGCCCGGACACTCAGTTTTGGAGGACAGACAGCTCTGGGCAGATCCACAGCTGTTCAATATTTTCTCACCTGTTTAATGGCGGCCTTCACTGTGCTTCAAGGTATATTCAATGCCTTTGAAATGTTCTTATGGTGTAGTGCTTCCTTGGAAATGCACTAAGTGGGGAAGCGCCCAGACACAGGTGTATTTATTCTGAAATCATGTCAAACACCTCAACTGCACACAGGTGGACTCCCGTCAAGTAATTATGTGACTTGGAGAAGAGAGTTGGTTACTTCAGAGGTAATTTAGGTGTGTCAAAACAAGGGGGTGAATACTTATGCATTCAATTATTTTCTGTTTTTTATTTTTAATTAATTTAGTAAAATGTCTGGATTTTATTTCACTTTGACATTATAGAATACTTTGTGTTGATGAGTGGCAAAAGGTCTCAGTTAAATACATCATGGTTCCATGCTGTAACACAATAAAATGTAAAAAAAAGGCACTGTATATAAGCAGAAGAGCCCAGAAGCTGGGATTGTGACCAGGAGTGAGGGCCATCCTCAATTTTTTGCAGTTTTGTAAACAGAAGAGCCTGCTTTTGTAGTGTGTTGGCTCACTCTGGTGGCTCCAGGATGGCATTACAATACAAAGAATCCTCCATTTCACTGTTGACACACGAAAGAGCTTTAGAGGGCTGATTAACAGTGCTTTAGCCACTAACTTTTAATATTTATTTTAGTTAACATTCCTCATCCTTTATTTGTGCTTCACAATTAAAATAAATGCAGTAGATAAAAAAGGCGATGCTTTTGGCATCAAGCACATGTGTGTTTTGGCCTTCTGTATAGTAATCCTTTAGAAGAGTAGCAGTGTACTACAGGTGAGCAGTAAGTGCTGTGTGGTGAGGTACATGAGGGATGGGTTAAAGCTGTGGGGTAAAGCTAGGGATAGGGTTGGGTTCAGGGTAAGCATTAGGTTGTGTTTGGAGATGCAGGGATGGATGGATCCTTTGCAGGGATGGATGTTATAGTGCATCCCAGAAATCTGTTTCACCAATACATAAGTATTGGTGTTCTGTATCCTGGAATCACTAGAATGTCTCAGTTACCGGTTACTCAGGTCGAGATGAATGAGTGCTTTAAAAATCTAGCTGCTTTGACCGGTACAGTATATTGAGCAATATGTTTTCACGAGTTGTTTAAACAATAAAAAAACCTGCTCTGTGAATAGGATTTTATAGTCTCCATATTGAGCCTATCTCACTTAGGCTCTTGTCCACTGTCTCTTTCTAAATGCATTTTCACGATGTTAAACGTCGTGTGAGGCTGCAAATCGGGCCTGTGTCACCACTCGCAGCCACAGCGCAAGTACAGGAACACACTGTGACCTGCGAACTGAGCCGTGAGCTGACCTCACGGGCACCGTCTCCATGAATGGACCCCACTTCTAAGAACATCAGTCTGCTGACGAAGGAGAGGAGGACATTTGTCCCATCCAGCCTGTTTGGATGTTTGCGACCAATGTCAGTGCATCATCCTGGTTTCTTGAGACGAGCCAGGCAGGGTATCAGCTTCAACAGAATGGGTAGGCAGCTTGTTTCACCCTCTCACAAGTAAATGGGCAAAGAAGTGCCTCCTGTTCTCAGTTTTAAATACACATTGAAATACATTGTTTTTCAGTGCACCAGGTGAAAGTGAGGAGAGGGAGACCTTTGTAGTTGTGGCTGCAAGATCAGATCCGAGGTTATCCCTGGCATCCAGGCCATGGGCTCCTGATAATCAGCATCTCTGAACTGGCTTCATCACTCTTGTTTTCCTCCCCACTGAGAGCTGGTGTGCGGTGAGAGTACTGGCGCACTATGGCTGCTGTCGCATCATCCAGGTGGGGCTGCACACTGGTGGTGGTGGAGTAGACTCCCCATTACCTGTAAAGCACTTTGAGTGGAGTATCCAGAAAAGCACTAGAAAAGTGTACCATGACCCTTGTGTACTCAAAATAATGAATTTGTGCTGGTAGTTCTTAGGTGGACCAACATATATATTATCAATGCCATTGTGAATAGGTCCCATATGCAGGACTACACTGATCTGAATCAAACCTTTCCACTATTTTAAAAGGTTGATAATGGAGCATCTTATGACCCTCTGTATTTTCGTTTTTAATACTTAACAGTACAGATTATTCCATCAGATCTTGATCAGTGAATCTGGGGTCATTTGTGCAGTTACAAATACGGTCAAGGATTCACTCATTGCAGATTTGTATTTGCTTAGGCAGAAACCTTTAGAAAAGGAGCGCTCTTTTGAATCACTCTCGTTGAGGCTGCGTGGAAGTCAGGGAAGCAGATCAGCGCTGCACCCAGCTTCAGTACAGCAAGAGTGAGCTGCTCCCACCCCCACCAACATTGCTTGAGAATCCGATTCCAAGCAGCAGTTTTTAGTGTCAAGCTTTTTTTCTTTTGGGGCAAGTGCAGTAAATGCAAATGCTCTAACTGTGTAAAGCTACAACTACAAATTAGGCTGCATTTAAAGTCTCTTTTTAAGGGTTTTTCAGAAAGATGATACATTTAAATTTTGTGAACGGATCCACGTACAGGAAGAGTTTTTAAAAACAATTTTAATAAAATTTGGGCTATTACAGGATACACAGCACACTTACAAACACACAAGACAGCATGCTTTTGTTTCAACAGTGATGACCTTTATTGGTGGTAAGAAAAGCCAAAAGGTCAAAGCACAACTTGTACGAAAACTGACTCGATGCACACAAAGCTGTGCATCATGAAAAAAAAAAAACAAAGAAAAAAGCCAAAACACTGCGATGCAAAAGTAAGAACACACTTGTTTCCGAGATCGAAATCGTTCACAGCTGGTACCTCACAGTGGCAGAACTGATTTTTAAAGACTGTGGTGATTGGCCAGATCTGTCTTTCATCTGAGCCAATGAAAAGCCCCGACCCGTTTCTTCAGGTGGGCAGCTGGTAGGTTAGCTTTATTGCTCTCTACGGTCGTAAACAGAAGACAAGATTTCAGCATAGGACGAAGAAGAAAAGTACACTTATGATGAGACATACTTGGTCTTCCTAGCAGTTGATTATTGCTGTAGAAGAGAGGTTAACAACTGCAGTGAAGATTCCGGCATACGAAAACCAAACAGCCTAGATCAGCAATTTCATATTTTATTCCCTTTGTCTATGAGGGATGCTGGGGTGTTGAGGCGGGAGTGAATGAAAAACGTTTAGCCCAGAGCACCATTATCGTTTGGCTTCCTTCACTTCCTACGACAGGGCACTTTTTCTGGGGTCTCCTGGGAGTAATGTCTGTGGGTGCCTGGATTCTACATGAGCAGGGACTGCATAGCCAAGGCCCTCCCCCAGCCAGACCATCAGTGTGAATTCAGTGGTTGTGGGAGGGGTGCAGGTGGACCTCCCTGTGGAATCGGTAGCCTGGCTGTGGGAGGAGAGCCCAGGAGAGGGAGAAGGAGAGGGAGAGGGAGGAGGGGAGTGGGGGGCGGCCACAGGCCGGGTCTAGGGAACCGGGACATCTACTCCTTGAGGATTTCGGAGGACTCGGACACCACCGTGCCGTTGGTGGTCTCGATCATCTTGATCACCACGTTCTTCTTGCTCTGGGAGGTGCTGAAGCCCCGCCCACTGCCGCTGCTGTAGCCGCCGCTGTAGCCGCCGCCGTAGCCGCTGCCGTAGCCGCTGCCATAGCCGCTGCCGTAACTGCTGCTGTAGCTGCTGCCCGCGCTCTCCAGGGGGAAGGAGCTGAAGGAGCTGTAGCTCGCTGGAAAGAGCGGAACACAGGAAGAGCAGGTTCAAATCTGGGACCCAATCCTTCCTGTGCCAGGAAAGATCAGGCCATCCACCACTTCCCTTGAGCTAATCTTGAATGTTCAAGGCCTAGCTTTTTAAAAAGGTCCTTTTGGCTGTACGTGGCTCTGTTGCTAAGGATCTGCACCTGTGGCTGGAAGGTTGCCAGTTCAGGTCCCGCGGCCGGCAGAGGAATCCTATTCCCTTGGGCCCCTGAGCAAGGCCCTTAACCCCAGCTGCTCCAGGGGGGCTGTATAAATGGCTGACCCTGCACTCTGACCCCCAGCTTCTCTCTCCCTGTCTGTGTGGCTGTGTCTCTCATGGAGAGCAAGCTGGGGTATGTGAAAAGACAAATTCCTAGTGCAAGAAATTGTATATGGCTAATAAAGTGATCTCTGTAGTCGGTTTATTCGTTCGCATGTGGGTGGATAACTGATTTTTTTGTTGGTAAAAAAATGCTCTAAAAATCCTTTGATGTTTATGTTTGACTGCTTAGTTGTCAATGGGGGTAACGGCTTTCAGAAAGGTTCTTAGTTCTGGTGTAAAATTAGTTTTTGGGGCCACCAGCAGGTCGTTTCACAAACAGCATCCCTATTCTGATCCATGTTCGTTTCCCCCTTGCTAGGACAGCGTCACGGCTGCTTGCGTGGAGAAAAATAAATTGTTTTGCAGCCATGCAACTGAAGCATTGAAAAATGTCTCATCCTCGGTGTGGGAAATTTCAGTGTCCTGTCCTGAGGAAGGCCTGAAATCACATTCACATGTGTAGAGTTCACGTGCACTATGGGGTGTTTCATTGTCTCCAAGCAACCAATATCACGAGATCTCTTGTTCCCCAAGTCTTATTGATCAATAATACTGACTTCTGGGTAGGTTTTCTTGGAATGGTACATTCTAGGACAATGTGTAATGCTGTCTGTAAAAAGAATAAGATAAAATAGCCGATTCCTCAAAGTGAGACAGTAAAAGTATCGGTCACTTACGGGAGTAGCTCTGTTTGGTGATGTTGATGGCTTGGATTCCAGATGCCAACCTGTTGGGAAGAGACATCATCTCGATAAGCATTAGGAAACATTTCAGTGAGCTTAAAAATCAAGATGATTAATCCAGCATCTTGAATCTGAGGGTTACCCTTACAGATATTGTGTGATGTCAGAAGCATTGTGAGAAAACACACACTCCCTCACCTTCTCATGTGCAAAATTTAACTGTCCAGTGCGACTAAAATGGAAACATTTCTCAGGATAAAAACACACTGGTATTGACTATCATCTTCTTTTCACAATTTCTATAAGACGTATGTAACAGGAGTTATGTGCTTGTCTTTCACATAAAAACCTGCACACACTCCCAACATCTTTTGTAAGGTGCCAGAAACTAAGTTATACCAATAAGGAGAAAGTGGTCCTTACACACTGATGCACCTGCTCCACTTGAGTCTTTAACCCAAATCGGCCTTGGTTGACATTTTTAACATTGAACAATGACCTTCAGGTATTGTTTTGGGGATAAAGACGCAAGACTTTTTCACCATTCCTGCATGGACGGAGGCTGCAGGAGTAGCTCACCTGCTCTCTTCTCCTTCCAGCAGTTTCCTGTAGGTGGCGATCTCGATGTCCAGGGCCAGCTTGACGTTCATGAGGTCCTGGTACTCGCGGACCTGGCGGGCCATCTCCTGCTTGGCTCTCTGCAGGGCTTCTTCCAGTTCCTTGATCTTGGCCTTGGCGTCCTTCACCGCCAGCTCCCCGCGCTCCTCGGCCTCCCTGATCTGAGCCTCCAGGTTGGCGCGCTAAGCAGACAAAAACAAGCCATGACAGGACGCTACATCGGCTTTCAGGGTTGGGGCCAGGAGGTGTCAATACTTTATACAGCACAGTGATTGTGTATACAATGAATATCACTTGCTATCTCAAACATTCATTTTCTTTCTTCCCTAGTTTCCACCTTGAACCAAGGGTTACAAAGGGGTTCAGACAAAAGCTTTACTTTTACGTTTCCATAGCAGTGTCAGCAGTTTTCAGGGGAAAGGGGAGGTAAAGGTTGTAGGGTCTTGAGTTCCACAATAAGAATCTATATTACAATAAGAGTTTACGGTTGCTTATTCCAACATTTCTTGATAAGGAATTCCCCAATCCCATGTTTGGGTAAGTAAATTCGGATCAAGAACTTGGGAGGGTTGAGCATGCATCTTGCACGGCCCGCCGGTACTGGGCACATTTCAAGACTCACCTGGCCTTTCACGGCTTCGATTTCGGCCTGCAGTCTCTGGATCATGCGGTTCAGGTCAGCGATCTCAGTCTTCGTGTTCCTCAGGTCGTCTCCATACTTGCCGGCGGATGCTTGCATCTCTTCATACTGCGAGGAGCCAAAACCAGATGACATTGCATTACAAGCGGGTTACAGTGATTGAATCCTGTTGCCTACAGTTTCAATGAAGGGGGAACTTTAGGTCAGGTTGTGCAAGCCCAGAGTGGAATTCAGCCAGGCCTACAGGCTTTATACTCCTACGCACTGAATCAGTGCCATTGGATCTTTTCATAACCAAGCAGTTAAGGATCTCGGATTTATGTCTCACCCAAAGGATCAAAGGACTGCACCTCCTACTGCAGTCAGTGGTGACTGCTCTTGTGTTCTGGTCCAGCAACACCACCTTATGAATAATTTTCCTTAGAGGTCTCCTATTCCATTTCTGTTCAGGCCCAGTCCTGCTTAGCCTCTGGGATGTGATAAGTTGGTATAAGCTCGCAATGCTTCTAATGCTTCAGGCTATAAGTTGGTAATGCTTCTAAACAAGTGTCATTTCGTGTTGAGAACTGCAGTAGCTGCTGTACAATGAGAATGGATTAAACCAGACAAATTCATTGATCTAACTCTGGTGGCAATATTAACGTGGTTATAGCCTGAAATTAAATAGCAGACTCATGGAAGCCCTTTGGCAGAGGAGTGTGGGCACTAACCTTGGTCTTGTACCAGCTCTCGGCCTCAGCGCGGCTGCGGTTGGCGATGTCCTCATACTGGGCGCGCACTTCAGCCACGATGGAGTCCATGTCCAGGTTTCGGCTGTTGTCCATCTCCACCACCACGGAGGTGTCCTGGATCTGGGCCTGCAGCTCGCGCAGCTCCTGCATGCACACAACAGAGAGGGCATGGCACTCAATGTGACCCAAACACTTCAGGACTGTGCAAGCATCGTGGGTTTTTTTCCAGTATGTACACAATGCTGCTGTACACCTGTTACAAGGTACCTAACAAGGCACTTTACCCAGAATGCTTTGGTCCAAATAAACTGTATACTGGGTGAACAGGTGCCAAATGTGAGTGTTAGGGGGGTTTGTGTTGGTTTATGCCCCTTACAGAATGGTGTGTGTGTGGGGGGGGGGCTTTGTAACTCCTTCCATTCTGGGAAGAGGTGAAAAATTTTCATGTTGGGCTTGTTGATTTATCAGGGTGGAACCAATATGATGTCAATTAGAAGAAGGAGGCTCCAGTTGCAACAATAAATTCTACAGCTATCCTGGAATTGTTGATGTCCTTCTTGGCCGATTCTTGCATATCCAATAAATGTGTTCAGTGCCTGCGAGTTATAGGATCCACTGGAAAACCCAGTGCTGTAAAACAAACTTCCAAAGCAAAACTGTGTCTTTGCGGCGTCAGGGTACCTCGTCGTACAGCTGGCGGAGGAAGTTGATCTCGTCACTCAGGCTCTCCAGCTTGGCTTCCAGCTCCACCTTGTTCATGTAGGCCTCGTCCACATCCTGGAAAAGAGCAGAGAGGGGGCCATCAGCATGGGTCTCCCTGTCACTGCCAGCTGGCAGCAGCCAAGGTGTCTACAAGCTGTAGGTCTGCTTTTCTGTCAAGCAAATGGACTCTTAGCATGTAGGGCTTCCCATATGGGTTCTGCAGCGATCCAGGGTTCTGATTCAATCTGACCAAGGTCACGATTCTAAAAACGCTTCAGAGCTCTAAATTAGACATAGAACACATGCATGTCCTGTTTTGAATTATTCGATTTGCACCATCTATGGTAATTATACCTATATACAATTACAATAGATTTGATGGAATAGGATGTAGAATAATGTCATGCATTTTTTACTTTGTTATTAGCAGAAGCTAAAGCTTTTCCAAAAAACAACGAATGGATGGGGGCTAAAAGAAGCTGCATAAGGTTTTCAAAGCTTTTCTGTATTTTCTCTGTCACTGACCTTCTTGAGCAGAACAAAGTCGTTCTCACACTCTGTGCGCTTGTTGATTTCGTCCTCGTACCTGGAGGAGAGAGGGAGAGGAGAGGCTGCTGAGGCAGAGAACAGATCAGGTGCAACACCTCGGAAACCGAAGGCGGAATTTAATCATTAATAACAACAGCACTTCTCATGCGGGTTCCTAAAACAGATAAAGAGATTTTCCAAGCGCTTCCAGAAATATGAAATTGTTAACCCCTCCCGAGTTATTCTGGAGCAGGATTTGTTGATGGTGAAAAGGATCACCTTGTGTTTTCTAACCCAGCTCCCAGAGTGTTACACTGGGCAGAACCGATTCCCCACTATTGAGACCCCTCTTACAGTGTTGAAGGTGCTCCGGCTGCAGTGTTGGTGGAGGTTAGATCTCATTAGTAATTATACCTGGATTTTGCTACATCCTACCAATACATCCCACGTGTTTTTAAGTAGATCAATCTCCAAAACAAGCTTGTTGTCTAGCAGTGGGATTTCAGAGCCACGTCTTTCAGTTTCGTTAGAAACTAAAGCTCACAGATCATAGATCTTTTTCAAGTAGGATAACCCAGGCATGGAGAGAAATTGATATTCCATGACTCAATCTTTCTGCCAGGGACAAGTGGCATTTTAAATCGATCCCCAGGCTGAGGAGTACTGTAGTTTCACTCACAGTCTTTTTTGCTGTATTTGTTTCCCATTCTTATTTGATGTGGTTACCACATGGATTTTCAATTAATTTGTCAGAATAGTAGCCATAGAAATTTTGTCATGTTGTATGCATGGTCGGCAGTAGGGGGCGCTGTGGTAGCATGCGAGATGTGGCAGTACCTGCCCGCTATGCTGCTAAACTATGGGTGTGGTGTGCATTCGCTAATGTCTCTTCCATTATCCTCGCTGCAGATCAGTGCACACATATTAAGGATTCAGCCTAAATTACAGGCATTTCTCTTTTATCTCAACCCTGAAGGTACAGACTATGAGCACATTGTGCTTTGTAATTGCCATTATTATGTAGGCAATTATATATGTATGTATAATATATGAATGTGCTGTATGGCAAGTCTCCATGGGGGCTATTCTTGTTAGTTGTTTTGTTTCCCCCTTGAGCTACAGATGTATTAAAGGTGTAGATCCCCTTTGGAGTGCCACCTGGCCGTTTGTGTAAAGCACCACTAGTCAGGTTTCCCTTAGTGTCCTTTAAGTCTACACCTGGTACATAAAGCACATGACCTTCACTTAAGGGAGAATCTCCATTCCTCATGCTTTTGTACCAGACTGGTTTCATATAGCCTGCGCCTGAGATGACACAGACAATCTCTTGGTTTTGCCCCTGGAGCCCAACCCGGGACCCAGAGAAAGAGCTCACTTGTTCTTGAAGTCCTCCACCAGCCCCTGCATGTTCTGGAGGTCAGCCTGCAGTCTCATCTTGTCTTGGCCCAGGCTGTCCAGCTGGCGGCGCAGGTTGGCGATGTAGGCCTCGAACATGGCGTCGATGTTGGAGCGGGTGGTGGTCTGGCCTTGCAGGAGGCTCCACTTGGTCTCCAGCATCTTGTTCTGCTGCTCCAGGAAGCGCACCTGCGGGGTGGGGGGTGAGGGGGAGAGACGTCAGTCTGGTGCCCCACTTGCATTTTCACCCCAAAACTAACACAGCAGGTGTGCTGGATTTTGCCACGTGTTCTTCCAACACCTGTTCTGGGATGTAAAAATACACCCAAAACTGGGCTGCCTATAAGGAGTATACAAAGCTTTAAAATATATATTTTAAAAATATCACAAGGACATAAACCCATGTGGTAAATCTTTCTCTTTGGGTGTGGCCGTGAGGATTTGTGTCTTTTTATCTCCTGTCAGGGACCTCTGGACTGTTCTTGCAGATCAAAGGGGATGGAAAAATGGTCACAATCCAGTTTTAAGCCTGGAGTCCAGAGTTTGCTTATTTCCAGCTCAGGTTGGCTCCGTTAGCATTGCGGTATTTCTGAAGGGGGAGGTGGGGCTGTTGGGCGTGCCGACTCTAGGGAGGTCCAGGGAATGTTGCCCGGCAGGTAAATGGTTAACATGAATCAAGGAGAATGAGGGGGCAGGGCAGTAAGAGCAGACTGGGTTTCTACCTTCTACACTGCTCTGTAGGAGAGGGATGGGATACCTCTTGACATTTTGGTAAAATATTCAGACTTCAGGCAACCTAGGTCACAGGTTAACCTTCTTAAAGGATTCCCTGCCCCCTCTAAATGGCTGCCTCGCACACCTTGTGCAAAGTTTTAGGTTTAGTTGCTGACTAAGTAACTTAAGTAAACAGAAGTTTGCTGTCTCACTGAAATGCATTCACCTGCGTTTAGTGTGAAGTGACACAAATGCTGTTTAAAAAAAAACACTGTCCACTCCTGCCATTTTATTATGCTCCTTTTACAGATGATTTTGGACAACAAAATAGGTACAAGTTTATAATTTTAAGTTTAGTTTAAATCTATTTCTATGAATAATTGGTCACGCGTTCTGAAGTGGTTAGGTGTTATGGCTTCCTTGTGTAACAGTACTCGTCCCACAGGAAAGTGTGTTTGAAGTTAAAACATGGGGAAGTATCGAGCTTGTATGACGAGTACAGAGTGAATTAAACACAAGCACACCCTTGTTATGGGCACGCAGATGAATAAGTTCTTGGGAGATCTTAGGTTCCATTAAAAGTTTATAACCAAAACTGTCTGGAAAAGACAGCATAATTGTATGGAAGCATGCAAAAGCTAAATAGGGAGAAGAGCTGTGCCTGACCATAGGCAAAAAATGCACAGCAAAACGTTTCCACATCTGTCTTCAGCACATAATTGCACTGTACAAACAACAGGATATTGGTTCACTTTCTTCACACACAAAAAGTTTAGTAGGTTAGGCTCCTACCATGTTTAATTGTATTTCAATAATTATTCTTTTTGTTGGCAGTGAAGCAAACGTTTTCCATGATTTCTTTCGTGTCCACGGAAGGCTGTAATTTTAAGGATCGGTAGCAGGCCTTTCCTAAATCTGTCCATTTTTGGTCTGGATGCTGAGTGACCACTCCCTTGGCTTTACCAGGGTAAAGCAGCACAGCTGGACAGCCATACAGGCCCAGGTCAGCCGTGTATTAGCTCATCAAAAAATCCCAAATTTAAAAAGCAGGGAAATCTAGATTCCACGATCTTTAGTTGAACAATAGAAGACATTTTGACACTGTTTTCTTAGTAATGCATCAGAGTCCTCTTTGGAAGGCAGAGTTCCCGATTTGGTTTGAGATGGATCACAATGCACTAACCTTTTTCTCCTGCTCGAGCTTTAGAAGACTTTTTGGACTTTTTTTCTTTTTTAGAAGGCTATATCAAAACCCTGGTTTGTTTCTGCCTATTTGAACCTGCTCACTTACAAGAGACTAGGTTTCAGGGGCCCATAGTTAAGTCTTTATTTAATAGTATAATTCCTTCATACAGTATATCTGAATTTTAGAAAACTTACCAATACGAGAGAAATGGTGTGTATTTCAAAAAGAATACATGCTGTGGAAACAAAGATACAATGTTGCCATTGCCTTTGGGCAAAAGCTGAAACGGGCTGATATGCAGTTCAGTTATACTTTCAGGGCAGTATACGTCACTGCAATTACAGTCTAGCTCCAAAGTGTAGCTCTCACAGAAAACCTCACACAAATTATCGAGACAGCAACAGCGTAGCAGATATAACAAGCAACAAGAGAGTGAAGCAATTACGTTTTCCTCCTTGTGTTGTGGAAGACAAGTTTAAGAACTATTTAACATGTCTCCAAACCTTTTAATGGTCACAATTTACTGCCTTTTTTAGGCTCCAGAAAACGACTTGGTAAGCCATTAAGCCTTAAAGCAGCAGCTGCTGTTTGAAACTTCTTTCAGCAGCTCTGCAAAAATCTTTTGTCTTTTCCTGAGCTCAGTCGTCATTAGGTTGGATTGTCAGTAAACTCATCACCTGATCCGCAGAATAACTGGACTCTTAGGAACAAAGTGAACTACACACCATCCTGCCTGGACTTTTTCATACAGCTGGGCTGCCAGGGATCTGGTCAAGTGCCTCTTTGCTGGATCCCTTTAAAACAGGTACACCTGTCCTCTACTGTGTAATCACCCCCCTGCCCTGCTCAGGGGCCCCCCCAGATGAAAAAAAAAGAGAGCACAAGGGACCCACCTTGTCGATGAAGGAGGCGAAGCGGTTGTTGAGGGTCTTGATCTGATCCTTCTCCTGGGTGCGGACCACCTGGATGTTGGGGTCGATCTCCAGGTTCAGGGGGGCCAGCAGGCTCTTGTTGACCGAGACGGCGGTGATGGGGGCTACGGCACCTGCGCCTCCACCTACACCGTAGCCCATGCCCATGCCCATGCTGGAGCCCATGCCCATGCTCGAACCCAGGCCCATGCCACCTCCGTAAGCCATGGAGCTGGAGATGTAGCTTCCTCCGCCGCCGCCGCCGCCAGCCCCAAAACCGGCCCCCATGCCCCTGTTGGAGCCACCATAGGAGCTCCTGACACTGTAACTCTTCCTGGCCACGCTGGGACCCGAGTAGGAGAAGCTGCTGAATCCCCTGGGTCCAGCGGAGGACGCACTTGAGCTGTAGGTTTTGGTTACTTTGTAGGACATCTTTTGTCAATTAGTAGTTTCTGATGCAAAAGCTTCTTTTTAGGGGGTGTGGGCAAATCACAGGCAGAGGCAGCTCCGCTGTCTAAGAGAGATGCAGGCAGATAGAGCAAAGAACAGGCTGCTATTGCCCTTTTTATTTCATATCAGATAAAAGAGTGGCTAGCTCAGCTCTGATTGGCTGTGGCTCTGAGTGGGGAGGAGCTGGGTTTGGTTTGTAATTGGACACCTGGTCCAATCAGGTCCCGCTTTTGTTTTGTTTTTTTTTGTGCTCGGTTTCCCACAATCCTTTTGCTTTGAGGAACTTGTTTGCAAGGCAACAGGTTAGACATAGATTCTTGCTTTCAAGGTTGAAGCCATTGTAATCCCTGGGAATGTGCGTTTTGGACTGCCCTGTGTGCTAAAGTAGAGGGGCTGAGCCTTGTTGTTTGAGAACATTCTGCCTTGATTGTGTCACAGTCCAGTTTGCCCCCACCCCAAGAGCAACCAATGTGCAGTAAATGATCACATTCATTGTTTAAACATTAAAAGCAGGCACTACTAAAAACAAATCTGCCTTGTGCAGCGTTAAAACACTTCCCCTGTTCACTTCCTGAGTTTCATTTGAAATTTCCGAAAGATTTTCTTTTTAACTGCATCACTTAAAAGACTTCACCTCAAACTAAAAAATCAAAACCTCATCCATACCAAAACAAAAGAGAATCATTACCTAGGTCCTGTTTCCTTGGCTTGTTTTGCAATCTTATAACACCTTTTATTCTATATCCCTTTCTGCAATACAGTATTATGGGGTATAGTTTACATTTATTTACAGATATGTGTACAGTATGTGTCTGTCACCAGAATTAAGGCAAACTGGCAGCACTTATACTATAGCATCACAAAAAGAGTAATGTAATGTCTTCTCTGCTGTAACAATGCATGTGAAATATGAAAAGAAAAACCTAAATGTCCTTTTTCCTTGATTGAAACAATCGCTATAATCACTTTTCAGGTGTGGTTCTTTAACATGCAGCCAAACAATAGCTTTTTCTCCTAGTATGCGTGCTGTTAGGTTACAAATGAGGGGAGTCCACCCGGCCCATCTGTCTTTTGTATTCTAGTGTCATGTCAATGCTGATTAACCATTGAACTGATTAACCTGTTTAACCTCATCAAAGATCCCTGTCATTCTGTAGCCACAACCTGATTTTGCAATGTGTTCCATGCACCCACAATTTTTAGTGTAAAGCTGTTCCTCCATCAACACAATACCAAATGTATTTAATTACCATTTTGTTTAGTCTGGTTGTGGTATCCTAGCTGAGCTCTAATCAGCTGTCTGGGAAAGCTCCATCAGTTCCTTTTCCTGACTGGGAATAGCCATGATGCAGAAATGCAGGCATTATTCAGCAGAAGAAGAAGATGTTGCTTACCTGCAATTGCACGCAGTAATTATTGTTTTTGGAGAGACACACCTTTGACTGAGTTCACTCTGCCCTCCTCTTGTAGGTAAAGTGCATGCATTTACATGCAAAATCCACGGCCTGCTTAAGTAAACAGTACGACTGTGTGGCATGCTGGATCATCAGTGTGTGATTAGAGGCTATTATCTTCATTCTTGCCTCAAGAGAATAGTCTCTTTTCAGACACTTCCTCACCTCTCCAAAGTATAAATTACTAAATCACGGAGGTTTTCTTTTTAAAAAAATGGTAGGCCCATAGAATGAGATCCTGTAGAAGTGTGTTGGGTAAAATTTTTGCTGTGCTTTTAAATTAATCAAATCTATTTCCACAAAGTTTTATCTGCACCTGTTCAATTTTTGCATAAATGAGCAAGATCCAGAATAATCTGACGGCTTAATGGGCTATTTCCATCTGTGTCAATAATGTTCCAAACGTAATATGAACTAGAAAAAACTAAAATGGTGATGTGGTTCCATGGAATCTGATGTTTTGTTCTTTAAAAAATGTTTCATAATGGCACTTTGCAAAGTGCGGCTGTGATTGAATGTAGATGGAATGTGTTGAAGTGAACTGAGATTCAAGGTAATTCCCAGGAAAACAAAGGTGTTTATTATTAATATTATATCTCAACTGCACTGCTTCCAGAGAATTGCTCTTAAAGTGACTTTTACTTCCAAGGATTATCAGAACGTGCTGTGGTCACTCAGAATTATCAGAACCAGCATTGCCACCGACCCCCATACCTAATGCCAGGAACAGCCTAGTCACTGTTTATCAAACCTTCTTGTTTTGTGGAAAAATGTGCTCCTTGGATTCTGAAAGAGATTGCATTACAAGGTTCAAAGTACATGACTAGCAAGAAATGAGTTAAGTGTGTAAATATAAAACATTCTGTAGTTTTGGGGAAATTTTCAGTGCAGCGAGAAACTTTGATTTGGGTGCAAAGCTGAGGGTGCAAAATGATCACATCTGGGGGTTAAACAGAGTTTCAAGGCTTTTGAATCACGATATTGTACTATTGCTTTATGTTATGAGCTCTTGATCTGCAAGACAAATTCTCTTAGGAGCAATAAAGGTTAAATCAAATTCAATTTCCCAGATCTGTTCCTGGAGAGCTCAGCCCTTGGTTACTCGTATCTCCAAACAGATCTAATTGTTTTGCTTAATTGTACCATTTTCATTAGATGCTGAAGAGCTGCATGTTGCAAGTTGCTTATAAAATATAGTAATTGTCTTGAAATCTGCAACTTTGTAGCAGCTGGAAGAAGAAAGTGTTCTAACTGAACAAGGCAGCACTCTGGAGGGGATAACTGAAGCGACTGGCAGCTTTAATGACAGCAGTGTCTGAGGATCGTGGTTGGGAAACTGCAGTCTGAAGAAAGGGCACTGGGCTCAAATGATGTGTAAAAGGCAGGAAACACCCTGATATTCGAGATTGTTCCTACCAGACGGTTACAAAGTACCACTGCTGCCCTCTGTCAGACACCCTCATCACTTACCCACCCCACTGCATTCTCTCTCTGTGAGTCACCAAGTCTGGGTTCCATAACAGCAAACTCTGCTCCGAAGAAGGAGACTCTGCTGTCCAGGAGCAGGACAGTGCTTCAGCAGCCAAGAAGATCCACCTTGACAGAGCTGCTGAATCTTTGTGCCCCCCGTGTTTCCAACTTTCCAACTCAATTCAATTCAATTTATTTTTATATAGCGCCTTTCACAACCAGGTTGCCCCAAGGTGCTTAACAAAGCAAGTGACCGTACATGTTGTGAATACAGAACAAGAAGGACCAGAAGTCAATGGAGGAGAGGAACCAGAAACTCCTAAGTAAGGAGAAAAAAAACCCTCTAGGGGTCCAAGGTCAACTGGCTGCCCAACCCCTTTGGGCATGCTAACATTTTAAAATTACAAAAAGGACTAAATGAATAAAGGTACTAATCCATCCTTCATGTCTTTTGTATGTCAGTACTCCATGCAGATCTCTGTAGACCAGCAAAATCCTCCTAAATGATAGCTATATCAACGATGTCCCTCTTGGATCCATGGCAGTGATGCAGCATCCAACTCAGATGGTGCCCAGCCAGGGCGCCATCCAGACATGTGGGGAGGAGATTAGGATAGTTTGGTCAGAACAGACGTATCTACCTGGTGGGCCAACACAGCGAGAGCACCAGCAGCCATGGTTGCAGCAGGCTATGATGTAAGGGGTGAGTAGGCTAGGCTGAAGTAATAGGTCTTCAGTCCGGATTTGAAACTTTTCTCATCTTCCCTTTTCAAGCCCCAGACAGAAGGATATTCACTTCATAAGCTGTACTTCTTTCAAGATGTTGTTTCTCCTTCTCTAAAAAAAGGAACAACAATGGAACCAACAAAAAAGAAACAGCTATCACAATCGGCTCGGGAGTGTCTTTCCCCGCCTCTTAAATGCTTCTGGAAACTGCTGGAAAATCCTGAATGCTTGAATTTCTCCTTAGCTTCTCCTAGCTAAGGAATTGCAGACACATTCCTTAGATTCCACAATGTGCTGATAGTGGTAGCTGGGAGCAGTAGCAGAAAATCCGCTGTTACTCTCTGCTTCAGTACATTCAATATTCCATGTGTACTTTGTATCAGCCCTTCTGCTTCAACTAGCGCCTGCCGAGGAATTCAGCTTAATCCGCTCTGTTTCCAAGCCTGAGTGGATAGGGAACTACAGCACCAAGTCTTCCTGAGGTGTCTCAATGAAAATTTGTCTTAATGTTAGTTTTCATGTCTTTCAAATAATAGCTGCACAACTGCATCTCACTATAAATCAATAAATTAAATCAATTACAGCAGTTTTTTTTTGTAACAGAGATGATTGGCATGCTAAAGCCCCCTTTTCAGCAGTCTAATCTCACAAGCTATGGTCATTTGAGATGTGCAACCTACACTAATATACACAGCCTTGTTATGTTGGGAAGAGTGACATGGATACCTTGCAACACCAAGCACAAAATGAGGCAGAATGCAAAAACGTTTAATGTAAGGGGATTGCGACAGGTGTCTGGTGCCCTGTTAAATACTGAGTCACCTGCTCTTACATGTTGTTTTTGTCGGCGCTCTGCGATTTCGGGTTTGCTTGCTTGTAGGCTGTTGTCCGCTGTTGCCCCTTCCTTCATCTGTTCTGCACACCACCCATGGCTGGTTTACTGCTCTTGAGGGATGGAATTGTCACGTCAAGAGCAGCCCTGGCACAATCTGCTCGCGATTCTCGGAAAGTCACTTGTCAAGACTTGTCAGACGGTGCTGATCTAGCAAGAGGCAATGTAAAAATAGAACAATTGTATTATGGAACAAGTAATAGGTTTATTCCATGCTGAAAAAAAGAAGAAAGAAAACACAACGTTTCAAGCCGTGGTGCCTTCTTCAGGTGTCACGTGGAGCCGTGGAGTCACACCTGAAGAACGCTCCACTGCCGAAACGTTGTGTTCTCTTTCTTCTTTTTTTCAGCATGGAATAAACCTATTACTTGTTCCTTTGCAGCCTACGCATGCTGACGCAGCTACCCACCTAAGCTACACTAGTATTATATCTGGGATGTGGTTTTATTGGGAAGATCTAAGGAGCAGAACACATTTAGCACTTAAATGCTAAAAATAATCTTTGCAAAATAAGTATTGCAAGTGGCCCTGTTAATAAATAATGTGGGTTTGTTTGCAGCAGG